TGTAACTCTTTTCTTAGTTAAAATACTAAAATTTTGGAATCTTGACCTTCATGTGTCTCTTCCAAGTCAGTATCATGTTGTCAAGTCAATATTACTAACAAAAATGCTAACCGAAAGTTAACATTGGGCTAATTTTTAGTATTTCGATAGGTTTGGATATTATAAAAGAATCTGAAAAAGGTCTGGATAAAAAATAGACGTTACCCATAAAATTATCTATTATCTTTCTTATTTTCGTAGTCTTCATGATATCATTTTTAATTGTTATTATAGCTAAAATTATCTATTAAAATCGTCATCATACTCATAATCAATCAATCATATACTAAAAATATAATCTACAATGTACGATCGGTAACTAACGGATCTAAGTGGAGGCCCCTAATATTCGGAGGCCCTGTGCCGGAGGGCGGGCCAGCACACCCTCTAGGCCGGCCCTGCGAAGGAGGTTAACTATTCTTTTGCCGTCCCTTTTTATGCTTTCCTCTTCAGCCATGAGACAGAGGTGAAGAGTTGTACATTTCATCACTTGTTTATGAACTGAACTGAACTGAACACAACACATATACTAATACTATGTTTGGAAACAAAAGTTGAAACTACATAACTTATTTTTGCAAGCATGCGATGGGAGATGGAGCACGAGCCTGGCTAGCAATAGACAATAGATCCCATGTATGTAATTGTAATGGAAACACACATACACACGCATTAGTGCGAGCAGGAAGCAAAGAAGGATAAATCTAGATAATCCTGATGCATGGACGAAAGAAAGTTGGGCAAAGGGATGGGAAGGTTTGATTGGTGGGTTTTCAGCAAATGCGCACTAAAACAAAACAAAAGCTCACTACTCGAACTCCTCACAATATAATTTCTCCATTTATTCTTTTCTCTTCTGTAAGGAAATACCTCTGCCAGGTTTCCAAGGACACCACACCACGACCACGCTAATAAATATCAATTAATATAATACTAACCAATCGAGCCCAGATTAATATCATAATAATTCTCAAACGATCTGATGATTATAATACTAACCTCACATAACATTGGCAGCATCGACTTCAGGGCGCTTTGCCTTCCATACTGCCAGTAGGTGGCCATCAAATCAAAGGCCTCCCGTAAGTACTTTCATTGCAGAAGGCTATCTTCTTTTCCCTTTCCTTCATGAACAAATAACTAGAAAAAAGATTCAAGAGCACCCATCAGCATAGCATTCAGCGTGCCACAAAAAAACTAAATACAAAAAGATGACAAAACAGGAAAACATTCTATGCCATGGTCTTCAAGTTTGGTGTTATGGGGCCCCATTGCTTTCCTCCACAAGCCAAAAGAGCCATCGCCCACCTATGCACTCAGTCATCATGTCCACTAAGAAAGAAAGAAAGAATTTCTTCTCTTTCATCACTTTGCCTCTCCTTCTCTTCCATACTCAATCGCCATTTAGCATGCTTGCAATTCTCATTTCACACACACCAACAGGATAAAAGGCAACTACTGCTTGTTTCTCTTTCTTCTTTTTACCCATTTTCCTTTTCTCTGTCTGCCTAATCTGGGGAGTACTGAAAACTCAAAAGGCTTAAACTTGGGGCTGGTGGTTAGTTGGAGCTTCTGGTGAAAACAGTGGGTACTATTCTTTTGTGCTGCTTGAGCTGTTTTGGCTAAAATGGGTAACTGCTGGTATAGAGGGGAGCCTTCAGTGTACAGAGTCTCATCAAATGCAAAACCAGGTTAATTCATCGTCTATTCTTTCATGTCCTGTTAAATTTTGATTGTTTGCCTTATCTATCAAGCTGTTGCTGGGTTTTTTAAACCTAGCAGCTAATCCTCATGATGCTAACTACGGTTTTATATACCTCCATGCAACATAATACTCCCTTTTTGTCCTCGGAGTTTTGATCTCCTCACTTCCATGGTTCATCTTAAAAAACAAAGACTATGGCTATGCCCAATGAAGCTTTAATATTAAGTAGGAAAAAGAAAACATAAATATTCTTTTATCTTCTATTATAGAAGGGAGAAAAAAAGGCATTTAACATCTTTTCCAATCCACCCTGAGCTTCATGTTCTCTAACTTTGTCACAAATTCTTCTTTTTTCTTTCTTCGGACTTCTGACCTTTAAGATTTGGCCATAGATTCATCAGTATCTGGAAGTAAAGCTCTAAAAGGAAGTTCTGGTGACCCAGTAGAAAAGTTATCCCTATGGTGGGTGGACTAATACATATTGGATTAGCTTCATTGCCTATTAAATATCTTCAGTCTTTCGATGAAAGGATCTGAACATCACCTATGCAAATTAGGAAATTATTATAAATAATGGTATTACCGATATGCTCCTATAATTAGGCTTCTATTCTAGTTTGTCATTCCCAGAAAATGGACAGTAATCCTCCTTCGTTACATGCATGCATCATCAATGATCGATTCCTCTAGATTAATGGCGGTATGCGAAACAATGGGTGGGTTAATTCATGTGCGAGAAACGAAAATGTACAGAAAAAGAAATCATCACCCAGACCTGATATATTAGCAGATTCTCCAAGAGAGCAATGCCCATCAGAGAAACCAAGGAAGGACATGAGGAAACTGCCGTCGAATCCACAAGAAGTGGAGGACCTACGTCGTGATTCAGCTGCCAATCCTCTGATAGCATTCACCTTTGAGGAGCTGAAGAAAATGACAAGCAACTTCAGGCAAGACAGGGTGCTCGGAGGAGGAGGGTTCGGGAATGTCTATAAAGGGTCTATAACCGAGGATCTAAGAGATGGGATGCAGCCAGTTGAAGTTGCTGTCAAGGTTCATGATGGTCACAATAGCTACCAGGGTCACAGAGAATGGCTGGTAATAAATTGGGATCTTGGTATGCTAAAGCTTTATAATGTTACCTTGTGAAGCAAGCAACATTGATAACTTTAATTTTGATTGGATTCACGGTTGCACATTTCAGGCAGAGGTCATCTTCCTGGGGCAGCTTTCGCATCCGAATCTGGTGAAGTTGATTGGCTACTGCTGCGAGGATGAGCACCGGGTCCTGATATATGAGTATATGGCTCGGGGTAGTGTGGAGAACAATCTATTTTCGAGTAAGTGGCAGTTGCTCTTATTCCTTTTAGGCAGATAGCTGGAGCGACAAATCAAATTCAAAAGTATAAATGTTCGAATGATAATAGCTGTAGGATCCAAACTGGTGCTCAAGACAGTGAAATGCAGGAGCTAATAGTAATAAAATGTTCATTTCTACTATCTCTGCAGGAGTATTACTTCCACTTTCTTGGAAGATCAGAATGAAGATTGCGTTTGGTGCAGCGAAAGGACTTGCATTTCTGCATGAAGCTGAAAAACCTGTCATTTACCGCGACTTTAAGACCTCTAACATATTACTAGACGGGGTTAGTTCATTAAGTGAACCTCAAAATTATAAGCATGTGAAATAAGTTTTTCGGTGAATGTTGTTGTTCGTTTTATAGCTCAAGGTGACCAAACATGATCAACCTCTCGAAAAAACACACTGCTGCAGTTCAGAAAGTTGCATTATATCATGTGAAATAAGTTGCTTACTAAAATGGCTGAGTTTCTACTGTGGTTCTTGAAATTCAGCTGACATCAGCTCCTGTCTGGTTTGACTGTAATAGGAATACAATGCCAAACTCTCGGACTTCGGCCTAGCAAAGGATGGCCCTATGGGAGACAAAACTCATGTTTCCACCCGCATCATGGGAACTTATGGATATGCAGCACCAGAATATATAATGACTGGTGAATTATCTCACACCATTTTCTGGGTTTCTTTTTATGATTCGGCTAATGTATATAATCAGGTCAAACATTCATTGACTAGATAAAACTAATATCAGATATGGTCAACATGGAGTGAACTTACAATTGATATCCAGCTGTTTGAAAAACTGCAGGCCATCTGACACCTAGAAGTGATGTGTACAGCTTTGGTGTTGTTCTTCTCGAACTGCTGACGGGAAGAAAATCTCTCGACAAATCTCGTCCGACAAGAGAACAAAACCTGGCAGATTGGGGGCTCCCACTTCTGAAAGAGAAGAAGAAATTGCTCAACATTGTTGATCCAAGATTAGAAGGAGATTATCCTGTTAAAGCTGTTCACAAAGCAGCAATGCTAGCATATCATTGCTTGAATAAAAATCCCAAAGCAAGACCTTTGATGCGAGATATAGTTGACTCCTTGGAGCCTTTGCAAGTAGCTGAAGTGCTTCCACACGAAAAAGGCATGGTCACTGTCATAAATGTGATACCTGAGGGTGCTAAGGCTAAAAGAAACGAGAATGCAACATAACTGACTTTGGATTCATACTTTGCTTCTGCCAAGCAACCTTCTCTATTTCGAGTCTTAAAGAGTTTCTTTTCCCCTCAGTAGATGGCGCTACTCCTTTATGTTCCTATTTTTGTATGGTTTATTATATTTCTGGAGCCCAATGATCAAATGTTATGGTAAATATTAGCAGCTAGATTATATGTAGAAGCAATACGAAGCACGGGGTTATATATTAGCAAGTATCTGGCTTGTTGATAGTTAGAACATGACAATACGGGGGAAAATAAATGACAATCCAAGAAGACAAGAAGTTACCAAGCAAATGAACAGTTAGACAGAATAGTACACGGATTTCAGGTACAAAACCTCCTTCTGCGGGACGTTATCAGCAATAGCACTCTTTCTGCATTGATGCAGTGACAGGAGTTCGATTTTTCCCCTTCCAATCTTGCTGGCGAAACGAAAGCTCCAGCAAATTGAATACTGGGCATCATTTTGGGACATACCAACAGCTAATGCAGAAGCATCACAATGCTTTACATTCCAACTCCTTTACTTCTCTGCGAAGAAAGGTCTTAGATGTATTTCAATTGAGAAGGGCCGGCTAATGCCAATGATCACATCCTAATCACAGGAATGTACTATGGAAAACGGCGATCTTCAAGGATAATCCTCTCCTGTACAATCATAGATGACTTCAGCAAGATATCATTCCTAAAAAGAATCAAGCTTTGGAATGTAACCTTCCTTCCTCATCTGCTCATTGAGCAGTTGGTACATATATATTGATTGAGCAGGTAAACCATCACCAGCATGAAATTCATGGACGCTAGATTCGATCTCGATCCAGCTGCAACCTGGAGTCTTACTAACACCCCTTTCTCTCATCAAGACTCTCACCTTTGCTGACTCATCCCACTTTCTCATATTGGCATATATCTTAGATGATATGACATAGTTTCCTGAATTTGATGGCTCCACCTCTAGAAGAAGTTTAATCACCCGGTCGCTGATATCTATGTTTTTCTTCTTCTGACAAGCAGCAAGCAATGCTCCAAGCACAATTTCATCGGGCTTTCCAGGCATCTTCTCTATAATTTCCCAAGCTTCATGCAGATGACCAGCACGAGCCAAAAGATCAACCATACAAGAAAAGTGCTCAATTGTTGGGACAACCCCAAACGATGGATTCATCACCTCAAAAAACTGATGCCCCTCGTTGACCAATCCACCGTGCACACAAGCAGAAAGTACTGCCACAAATGTGATCTCATCCGGTCGGGGAGCACCATTATCCCTTGTCATGCGCCAAAACAAAGACAAGGCCTCTTGGGGCCGGCCATGGAAAGCAAGGGCAGAAATCATGGAATTCCAGGACACCTCATTTCTGTAAGGCATGCTTTCAAAGACCCTTATTGAATCGTCCAAGTTACCACACTTTGCATACATATCAATCAGTGCACTTGCAACATAGATATCATGATGCAAGTTTCTTTCTGAGGCGTAAGTCTCAATCCATTTTCCTAAGTCAAGTGCTCCTATAGAAGCACATGCGGAAAGAACCCCAACCATTGTGATTTTGTTTGGACTGATACCTGCATCTCTCATTGCATCAAACAGTATGATCGTCTCATCCGATTCTCCATTCTGTGCATAGCAAGTGATCATAGCATTCCAAGCAACAACATCTTTCTTCGTCATTGCATCAAAGACCCTCCGAGCAGCTATCAAATCCCCACATTTTCCATACATGCTAATTAAAGCAGAGCCAATATAGGAGTTAAACTTCATCTTCCTATCACGAACAAAAACCTCCACCGACCTCCCCAAATCCAGATTCCCAGAGTCCCCACAAGCCCCAAGAACGCTAACCAACGTCATCTCATTTGGGTCAATCCCCTGATCTTGCATATCCATAAACAACCTCACCGCCTGCCTGCTAAAGCCCATCTGCGAATACCCAGAGATCATGGAATTCCACGACACTAAATCTCTCACAGGAATTTCGTCGAACACTTTCCGGGACCAACCCAATTGACCACACTTTGCATACATAGTAACCAAAGAGTGAGCGACATGGTCATCCCCGTCCAGACCAGTCTTGAAAACCATAGAGTGGGCGGATCGCCCACAATCCAGAGCTAGAAGATTGGCACAGGCGATGAAGAAGAACGGGTAGGTGAAATTATCGGGGAGAAGGCCGGAAATCTTCATCTGGTAATAGAAATGCAGTGCCAAAGAGTAGTTGTGCCAGGTAGTGGTAAGGCCGCGGATCATAACGTTGAAGGCGTAGTCGTTGGGTTTTGGAAGATGGGTGAAGAAGAGGAGAGCATAGTGGAAGTCCTTGAGGAGAATGATTTTCGGGAGGAAGAAATTGGGGTGATGAACAGAGTTTAGAAGCATTTGAGCGTGGATCTGTTGGAGTGGCTTCAATGACGCACAGTTGTTCAAGAGGGAAAAGAGCTCCCGAGAAAGGGATTGATAATCATGGGCATGGAAGCAGAAATGGCGTGGCTTTGAAAAGCCGAGATGGCGGGAGATTGGCGGGAGACGGAAGAGCGTCACTCGGAGCATGGCTCTGTGCTGCTTGACTTGGGTTGGGTGTGTACAGGTGACCCGTAACTTCGCTAGTCGCTACTCTACTTTATAAACTGAATCACTATTTGCCGCCCTAAAAATAAAATGGATTGCTATTCGCCGTCCTAAAAATACTATTTGCCCTAATTCTTAATTAATTTAGCCTAATGAGTAATGTCCCTAGTATATTTTTTTCTTGCAAACACAAACCTTCAAACAAATACACACAACCCGCTGGAAACAGATCGCCGGAAACAGAGCATCAATGGGTGCCAGAGTGGCAGTAGCAGTGGTCGGAATCTTGTTGGAGGTGGGGAGATCGGGTTGAGATGAGATGGAATCTTGATTCTTGTTTCATTATAAATTAAAAACAAAACTCAAATCCTATATCTGCAAAAGAAGACATGCACAACTGAGCCAATTTTCGTTCCCGCAAAGAAAGAAGACAAAGGCACGCCAACCCAAATTCTCTACACTAAACCAGCAAAGCAAGTAGTTGCTTCTCCGTCCCTCTCACCACTTTCTCCCTGTCCGCCTTCCGTCTCTCAAATCTTCCCATTCGCCATCACCGGTCATCTTGCCTAATTCTGCTCTCCTCCGTGTTCGTTCACTCTACAAGAACCGCCCGCCACGTTTTGATCAACTTCGTCGAAATTGAAGGCGAAGAGGAAACAGTTCCATGGCTCCGTGTAGGCGGTTTGCTTAGGATCTAGGTTAGAAATGGAGATTAAGGGTAAACGTGTCAATTTAGTGTGATTTAGGGCGATAAAATTTAAATTTTAGGGCGACAAATAGCAATTCAGAATAGATGAGGGTATGTATGGCAAGTGTAACAAAATAGTCATTAAACTTTAAATTGCAACAAATTAGTCACTACAGATTTTTCTTTTACTGAAAAGAGGATGAGTCCTAACTTTTATTAATCGGCTAAAAGTGAGGTTGTTTAGATGGATCAATTGTAAAACGAGACAATTTGACCAATTATTTCATTTTACAAAATGAGTCATTTAAAACAAGTCAATTAAGATTACTTACCCCCACTCTAGACAATTGTAATTGGCTCAAAATGAGTCAATTCAAAATGTAGCCCAAATTGCTTCATACAAATTTTATGCTGCCAAACGGATCAATCTAACCCAATTGTCTCAAAACGAGACAATTGTGTCATATTAATCCATTAGAATTCCTCATCCAAATGACCTTTTAGATCATTCTCCATATTTGCAGTAATAAGTGTAACACCCTAGTCAGTTTTTTTTTTTCCACCATTAAGATGATATTTAACGGGAATGCTTAGGTCATGAGATCATGGATGCCATAGGAATCTTTTGGAAATGCTTAAGGCATACATGGGTCACCAATGATAATTTGCTATTGTGCATATGGATTAATCCGTGTGCACCTATACAATCCATCCCTATTGGGTCACGTTGGCATGGGGGGATTGGGGAGCTCTCATTGGCTATATGCCAAAATGGGCGTGGTTCGGGTTGAGGAGCCGCAGATGGAGCCGGCTCTTGGCATCAGCCCCTTGGCTTAGGGGTTTGTGGGGTCCGCCAGGTGAGTGAAGAAGGTTTGGGTGGGGTCGGATTGTGAGAGAAAGGGTTTAGGAGTGTGTTTTGGTGGGATTTTGGGAGGAGAGAGAGAATGAAATTTCCCCCTCATTAATATGCTCACCTACCAGCTTCTCTCTCTCATGCCTTTCTCTCCTCTTTATTTTTTTCATCCGTCATTGAAGAGAAGAAGAGGAAATTCCAGATCCTAGGTTTGATATCGGAGCTACCATGGATGTTCCACTGGAGGTGGGTCTTGGAACCCAAAAAGAGGATGTTGGCCAAAATCTTTACAACGATGTTGCCGATGATCTTGGCGAGAATGCTGACGATGATGTCGAGGATACTTTTGATGATGTTGCCGAGGATATAGCTGATATCATTCTCAATGCGGATATTCAGAATACATGTGACGGATTGTGGGGCTCGCAAGAGTGGAAGGTTGTCGTTGAAGAACAAAAAAAAAAAATCATTTTGATGTTGCTTTTTCTTTATATATGTTTTAGGTGGTGAAGCATTGAATGCTTCTGTATGGTTGGATTTTAGGGTTTTGCATTTATTGCGTTTGTTCTGCACAATTTATGGGTTCTTAGTATGTTGAATATTTGTTCGCCTGTTTTTAATAACTTAAGTATTTCATAAGTATGTTCAGGCAAGTATATTTTGTAAGTGCATGAATACTTGTTCATGCGTGCATGAATATGTTCTGAATACTCCAGAACATGAACAGAACCATTTGGGTGTGAGTGCATGAATACTCTAGAATGAGTATTACTTAACTAGACCAATAATATTGCTTGACATTTGTGTGAATATTATTGCGCATGTTTAAGAATATTTGTTGTTGATTGAGTGAATGTTGCTTGTGAGGACATGAGTTTCTAAATTTGTTTACTCTAAATTCAATGGCAGTTATGCAGCACTAGAAGATGAAAACTTAAGGAGGAACTTGCAATTCAAGACAGTGCAAAACGGTTATGGGTTCTATTCAAGCTATGGTCGAGGTTTTAGTGTGCGAAAACATAACGAACACACTAAGAAGTTCAAGAACAACAAGGTGAGTTGGAGGAAAAGTATTGGTACCTTTACTATGTATGCACCAAGAAAGGGTATTTGGTCAAGAGTACTATAAATCCAAATGATGTGAACAAACGGTCGGGAGGACGATGTAGTTGTTAAATCAAAGCCGAAAAGAAAGAGGCAAACAACTGGGGTTTGGGTGCGAAGCTCGTGTTGACTTTCGGTGGGATGTAAATAGGGATGCATTTGTGGTGACTGCATTGGTAGGAATACACAATCATAACTTGCATTGTAAGAGCACTCAAATTTTATGAGGTCTAACAAGTGCATTAGTGAGGCTCAAGGTCTAATGGTTGAAGCCAACCGCTGATGCTGGGTTAGTTTGACCTCCTCTCGCAAGCTATTGACCTTGTGTATGGGTGTGTACGAAAATCTTACCTTCTCGAGGAATGACCAAAGAACCACCTAAGCAAGAGAAAGGAAAGGAAGATGGCACACGTGAAGCTACTTATTTGTTGAACTACTTTCAGGAGCAACTTGAAGGGAATGCTAGCTTTTATTATTCCATGGAAGTAGATTGTGATGAGCAAGTTGACAACATACTCTGGGCAGATGCTACGATGCGGGTTGATTATAAACTATTTGGTGACTCGGTCTCTTTCGATACAACAAAAGCATACCATCCATTGGGTATGCATTCACTTTTGTTGTATGAATATTATATGGAATATGTGAATACTATCTTGAATTATACGTTGAAAATCTTTAATGTTGGTCTGGAACTTGTGAATATTACTAAGGAGCATAGGAAATGTTAGTATGTAACTTATGAATATTAGTCTGGATGGTTTGCGTACTTTCTATTTCTTACGTTTGAACATGTGTTTTGTAGAATTGTTTGTTGGATTTAACCACCACCGACAAACTTGCATCTTCGGTGCGTGTTTGTTGTACGACGAGACTAGTGCATCCTTTGAGTGGTTGTTCAACGCTTTTCATATTGCATGCAACAAAAACTTCCAACCACGATCTTCATCGATTAGGATCCAGCCAAGCCATGGCCAAAGCACTTCGGACAATGTGGCCTGACGTGTTTCATGCGTTATGCACGTGGCACATCTTAATGAATGGGAAGAAACGGTTTCGGAAGGAGAAGAAACTATTGAAGCGATGGACCATAGATGCGAAGAAGAAAGAGGTTGCCGAGTCCTCAACAAGTGTCGCCGATGATGAGGGAGCAGGTAACATCACAAGTAACATCAAAACTTTGAGATATAGAGAGACAACTGCCTTGTTGAATAAGCTTGCGACAAAGCTTTCTGTTGTCGACGATGACCTTTATGAAAAGTGGATGAAAGCACTATCTAAAATGTGCAAGTCACCAGACCATGCCTTATCGAGATCCATACAAGTGAAAATGGTAAGCTTTTCAATATTATTTTGCATTATTAAGAATATTTCTTAGTCTGCTTCTGAATATCCTTTGCATGCAGCAGAGGGGTCTCAGTCATTTAGTGGACTAAAATTCAAGCCGAAACAGAATCCACGTAGTCACAAGTTGGTGATGGGGAAGATCAGGAAGATGACATCATAGATCTAGTTATGCAGACTTAGTAAATGGTTAGGTTTGTCCTCTCTAATGGAGTACTTTTGTGAAATGAAGAAATTGTGATATGATGTGTTACTTTATAACATATCATAGTGCAATTGTTAACATTACTATCAAGGGCCTTGTGCTACCATATTATGTATGTTTCATACTCGTATTTGGCAACTGGTAAGGTATTTCTGAACAGTTATTGAAGATATGTTCTAGTAATTTGTTAGCAATGAACAAGTATTCGGTTATCAACCGCTAAATGTCATTGGTTCTAAGTTACTTGGATAACTTACTAACTGTCTAGCTTCCCAAGATAATCACACAATCTTCGATTTATAAAATATTCTCCCCCTTGGCCTTCCCATCCTGGCTCCTCTAGTCTTCAACCCATTTTAGTACTTCATCTTTCACTTGGTTCTTGTCCCACATAATGAGCCTTAATGCAATCAGTGTACGTTGTAGCTCAACGTGTGCATCAGTTCTCTAGGAGGTCTTGCAAGAAACATCCAGGTGTCCGTCCCAATGTTCCAAGAACTGACATGCAAAGATCCCACAGTCATTGTTTCCTCTTTGTTGCGGGACGTCAGCTACACTGAAGGGCCATTGATCTAACCTGCATTCGAGACCTTTCTTCACCAGCAAAACAGAAGCATATGCGAACACTTGTTTGGATTTAGTGGCACGTTAGACTTGGCAACATGCTCCGAGGGTTTTTGGCTGTGCAACAAGAATGTTTGCTATTTAATCATGTCGGCAGCAAAAACCCAGTAGTAGTCGACATCAAAGCATGGAAAGAACATTTGTTACAGAAACACATATTCACT